AGAGTGCAGTGGTCATGGCAGAAGCCACCCAGTAGACTAGGGCACCGCTCATGTTAAGAGGCACCCAGCATGGCTCAGTCATGATCACGGCAGGGCTGGAATGCAGTGTCTGATGTCCACACTCCTCCAGGGGCATCCCAGAATTCCATTCTCTTGCCCTTCATTGGCAAAGGCAAAATACAGAGTCGTGCCGTTTAAGCCCAGAAGAGACCACCAGAGTCTGAATGGCACATGCCACTCAACACTGCCCCCCCCCTCCATTCCCAAACCAAAATTAGATCCAAGTATCCCAGTCCACAGGAGGCTAGACTCAAAGGAGCCACAGGCAGAGAACAGCAGGGACTTCCACACACCAGGGACTGAGGCCCCTGCAGTAGCAGGGAATTGATTGAGATGGACCCAGATAAACCTGAACCCACACACTGCAGAGGAGGTGGAAAAAAACCCCAACATCCCTGCCAACCTGACCTGAGGGAAAATTCCCAGAGACTGTGATCAGTTACACCAAGAACATGGGAACAAGAACCTCCAGATCCAACGTTCCTTCCCCAGCTGCGGCCACCCCTTGTACTTCAGAGAAGGGAGGTAAAGAAAGTCTCCCCTACCCCGAACACAGGGCAGAGGATAAACTGATTTTTCAATAGGGTCAATTAACTCAAGTGCATTGGCACATAATTAGCTGGAGTGACATATTACCCCTCCTTCCTATTCACAGCTAGTGAGTCAGGCCCATGAAGTCATGAGTTCAGCTTCAAAAATCAGGAGATTTATAAAAGATAGTAATGCATTTGGACCTCTTTTTATTTATCATCTGGCTTTTGAGCCTTTAGGCTTCCCCTAAGGCACATGTTCCAGCTTTTCTTCACAGGCAGGGATGGAAACTTTCATTGGGAAAAAAAGACAAGACAAACAAGGAAAAGCAAGCTTAGCTTTTCACATCATCCCGCGACTCCTGCACATGGCGCTTTCAGAGAAACACCACGCATTGCAAGATGGCGGTACAACCAAGAAAGCTGGCCACACTGGGCAGTTACAGAAAGCACCAGCTCTGACCATGCTAAAATCCTAAGTCGGGCCTAAGAAATCATGCAATTGGCTTTAAAATCAGGAGCTTTTAAATACATAAAGTTGGGGTCCTCTGTGCTCGCCTTCTCATTTCTGAATCTTTAGCGGCCACATTTTCCAGCTTTTCTCTGTTATCTCCAAGCATAGAGATTTCCTTCCATTTTTTTAAGCAAAAGCTGAGATTCCGTCTCCCCCGGTCACATGCCTCCAGGAGCTGGGACTTTAATGGCGACACCAAACACGATGAGCCTCACCATTCTGGCGAGCCTGGAGTTACAAACACAGCCCCCGACTGTCGCCTCAGCAGAAGATGGCTACCAGGGAGGCGTTGGGAGAGGGGGAAGGAAAGGCAGGGTCTCACCTCGATGATGTCAGCGTTGGTCCGGCTCTCGTGCGGCTCGTTGTACTCGGTGTACTTGAGCAGCACCTTGTCCATGTCAGTGCTGGCATACTGGAACAGCTTGTTTGAGTGGTTGAAGATGATCAGGGCAATCTCGCAGTCGCAAAGGACGCTCAGCTCGTAGGCTTTCTTCATCAAACCGAACTTCCGCTTGGTGAACGTCACCTGCAAGGAGAATCGTAGAATTATAGGACTGGAAGAAACCTTGAGAGGTCACTAAATCCAGTCCCCTGCATTTACGGCAGGACCAAGCAGCATCAGATCATCCCTGATGGGTGCCTGTCTAACCTGCTCTTAAATATCTCCAATAATGGAGATGCCACAACCTCTCTGGGCAATTTATTCCAGTGCTTAAACACCCTTGCAGGTAGGAAGTTTTTTCTAATGTCCCACCTAAACCTCCCTTGCTGCAATTTAAGCCCATTGCTTCTTCTCCTATTGTCAGAAGTCCAGGAGAATAATTTTTCTCCCTCCTCCTTGTAACACCCTCTTAGGTACTTGAAAACTGCTCTCATGTCCCCTCTGTCTTCTCTTTTCCAGACTAAACAAACCCAATTTTTTTAGTCTTCCCTCATAGCTCATGTCTTCTAGATTTTTAATCATTTTTGTTGCTCTTCTCTGGGCCTTCTCCAATTTCTCCATATCTTTCCTGAAATGTGATGCCCAGAACTGGATGCAATACTCCAACTGAGGCCTAATCAGCTCAGAGTAGAGCGGAAGAATGACATCTAGAGTCTTGCTCACAACACTCCTGTTAATACGTGGTGGGAACAGGAGAAAGGGGAGGGGGATTAGAACAATTTTGGTAGTTAAACATGAAAAGGGAAAAGGGGAGAGAGCGAGAGGAAAAGATAAAGGGAAGGTAGAGAGAAGGAGGAGAGAGATAAAGGGATAGAGAAAGGGGAATGGAGTGAGAGAGTAGGGATGTAAAAATGCATTTAAAAACATAACCATGGAACCACTCAAAATCCTAGTGGTTACATGATTACACGCATTGCGGGCTCTGCAGTATAAAGCTTTTATAAAAATGTTATATGGCAGAGTCTGCCGCGAAGCCTCCCCAGGCAGCCCCTGCTGACCCCCGCTCTGGGGGAGCCAGCGTGTAACTGTAACGGAAACCATTATCGGATAACTGTTTAAACAGTTACATTTTTACATCCCTAACAGAGAGGGACAGCAAATCACAGGGTAAGGACTTTCCCTCTTTATGCCTCAGTTTCCCCAACTGGACAACAGGGAGGATAATACTCAGTTCCCCCTCCTCCTCTGGACCTCTGGAGGGGGGACTAACCAATTCATCTCTTCTGAGCGCTACAAGAGATTCCAAAGGCAGACGCTCCAAAAGTGCAGAGATGATCCTCGACGCTGGAATTACATATTACAGAACCAAGGGAAAACACATTTTAGCAAAAAGCTCCGGCAGAGCCACCATCTGTCTGGCTTTTAAGACGGACTTTTAAGCAGGAGAGATCTCTCTGGCATGGGCCGCAGCCGTTCAAAGCTCACGCATCATTGGAAGCTGCACACCTCAAGCCAAGGAGGTTGATGCGCAGTTCTGCTAAGGCCCTTTTCCTCTGGCAGCGTAAACGGGCCTTGGCATCAGTGAAAATTTGGGCCAGAGGCACCAGTGCAGACCCAATTGCCCTGGGCTCTTACACCAGTGCAAGTGGGTAAAGATCACCAGGAACCCCCTCGTTACGCTAGACTTTCAACATGTCTCATGGCCCCCATTGTGCAGTACAAAGGGGAGTGGGAGATACTCCCAGAGCAAATGGTAGGAGTTGTACGCCCAATTTGCATTAGTGTAAATCACTCAACAAGGATCCCGGCAAACACTCAGGCCCGCAGGTGTCTGAGAGTCTCACTTCAAGACATCGCAGATCCTGGGCCTGATTCTCTGTTGCCGTGAACCTCGCCTCATCGTACATCAGTGCAAAAGGGTGTGTGAAATGCGGCCCATTCTGATCCAGTAGTGTTGCACACTTCTGTTGCACACGTGTTGCACAACAAGCGGGAGTCCATGGAGAAGCAAGCTGGCACCTCTGGCTACTACATGGCACAGAGGTACCATCCAGAGCCCTATGCACAAAACTCCCTGCCCGTGTACTCGGCCTGTCCTTGACTCCAAACCAGCAGTGGCCACTGCGGTCCCTAGCTGTGCTTCTGACACAGACAGGTGGAAGGTTCTCTCCCCCCGTGGGGGAGTCAGTGATCAGATCAGCAACCTGACAGACCCTTCACCCACCGTGCTAACACTGCTTCCCACCTCCTCAAATGCCATAGCCAGGGCGAGGGAGTGGTTTGCACGAGTGGACCTCCTCCCTCTCAGGGGGCTGCAGGATTGTCAGAACCAAGACGGCCTGCCAGGACCGGGTACTTTTGCTCACAGCATTTGGATCCCTAGAACGTGCAGATGGTGAGGATGGAACTGTAGTCGCTCTGTAATTGGCTGCAGAGGGAGCACATGGCTTTCACCGTCAGTGCGCAATCAGCCTGCACCTCCCTTTACCTGCCCGTGCTTTACATGCCTGTCACTTTACTAACACCAGTAGGAAAAACACGACTTGGGTGGAAACCAGTGGAATGTGGCAGCTGCGAGGTGGGCAGTGGTGGACCAAAGTCTCATGGGCCACATGCAGCCTGTCATTAACCATTCACTGCTCCGGTCCTAACTTAATCCACCGTAGCATCAGCCACCAATTCACAAGACTCATGTCCACAGCTGTCAAAAGTGGTATCATACATTCTGCAGCCCCTCCCCCCCCCATCTTCCTGGCATGCTGCAGCAAAGAGAATGGATCAGTGCATCGACCCCAGAGGCTGGAGGGAGAGAGAGAGAGAGGAAGGCTGGCCATGGGCGAAGGTGTGGACTTGGGTATCAGGCACGTGGGTTCCATTCCTGCCTGTGCCACAGACTCCCTGGATTAGTTCCTTAATCTCACTGTGCCTCAATTTCCCATTAGTAAAATGAGGGCATGACTCCCTGTCTTCCTCTTTTGTGCTATGATGGCTAAGGGATTTAGGAGCCTGTGTTCCCATTGCGCTGGGGAGCTCCCAAAGATCTTAGGGTATGGAGAATAAAAAAGGAAGAAGAGGGAACATCATACATGCCGCAGGGAAATCTTATGCTTTAATCTGGAATAAGGAATTTCTGATTCCTGACTCAGAGCATCCACACAGGGAGTTAAGCAGGAAAAGTTAAACAGGAATAGCTACTTCAAACTAACTTCCCCTTATTATGGGTTTGTACAGCACCTAACATCACGGTTCCCCAATCTCCTCGCATGTCCCAACGCATCAAATAGCACCCTCAGCTGGCAGAACCTTTCCCCCCACACACACTGCATTCCCACGGTCCTCATGACCTTGTCCAAGTGTTTTTCCACATCATCCATCAGATTTGGAGGGTTACCCGCTTCCCCCGTCCTCCTCACCCACCCCGCCTCGAAAGTAGCTGTCAGTAGCAAGGTCAGCTAATGAGGAGTCCTTTGCTGGACAGATCCTTTTTCTCCTGACAAATGGGAGCACTGCCTGCCCTTATCTGCTGATAAGGGCACCTGATCCATGGCAGGCGGCGTCTTATCGCACTGTGCACTTCTGCAGGGGGCACGGCAAATGGAAACTGAAGCACACTCAGAGGATTGGCTTCTTCTTGGATTGTGTCCGTGAAAATTAAAGGGCCCGGTAGCCATGTGCACCGGTGCAAAGCTGGGGTGTAAAACACTGCTGGGCTGTTGGATTTTTTTTTTTGCACCCACTTTGCACTAGTACAAATGGCTGATGGGCAATGATGAACCAGACCTGTCAGAGGGCACACTGCCTCCCTCCCGGCCTCGCGGCGGGTCTGCAAAAACCTGCCATCAATCCCTCCCTTTGTGGGGCCCTACAGCCATGCTCACGCGAGATCAGCCTCACAGGCATTGCAAGCTGGCTCCCAGACCCCCGGCTTTCTCTGCTGCAGCCGACTCTGGTCTGAGCTAGCCCCACTCTCTGCAGCTTCCTGCTTGTCTGTAATGGGGAATCAGCCAAAACCCTGCTCAGGTGCATGCCTTCTTCAATACTAGGGTCATACAGCCTGCCCATTACAAGGCCATAAAAACGGTGGTTTGTCTCCCATTCCTTTTAACAAAGCGAGCCCCCAATCCTGTTACACCCTCCCACTGGCAGTCCAGTGAATCACCCAAAGGAGCAAGGACTACTCATGAGAACAAGGATTTTCAGGATTGGGCCCTTACCATTCAATTTGAAATGGGCCTGAATCTCATTTATCCTAAGCTCTCTTTATATGGCAGGGGTGGTGTAAGCCACATGCTTGTGCTGCCACTCAGGAGAGATTTCAATGCCACCCGATATATTAGCACCCACAGCTTGGTTCGTTGTTTCTATGGGTGGTGCACATTTGCAAATGCCTTGGGGCATAACACAACATTTATTCTGCACAAGGACGGAAAAAATCCATACATGGACAAAAAGATTTGAGGGAACACAGGCTTCAAAGTGAGTGGAAATCACAGGGCCTTACGTATAAATGAGGATCACACCCTAAAAATCACTCTCATCCATTCAGGGAAGGCAAAGAGGAACCACGCAACCAATACAGACAATCAAAAATGATGCAACACCCTGCAGATTGCTCTGTGGGATGCCGGCGCAGCCTTTGTCCACAGAGAGCTTGGGCACCCCCTGAACAGGGCTGCTGCAGCCCCGCACTGCTGCCTCTGTATTAGAAGCAGCAGCATTGGGCAGTAGGCAGGCAAAACTTAGCAGTTGCACAATTATTCGAGAGTCCCTAAGGGCGGGGCCAGCATGGCAGGCAGGAGACAGTCCGCGAGGGGAGCCAGTTTAAAAACTGCAAAAGCGACGAAGAGTCCTGTGGCACCTTATAGACTAACTGAAGTGTAGGAGCATAAGCTTTCGTGCCCACGAAAGCTTATGCTCCTACACTTCAGTTAGTCTATAAGGTGCCACAGGACTCTTCGTCGCTTTTGCAGTTTTTAAACTGGCTCCCCTCGCGGACTGTCTCCTGCCTGCCATGCTGGCCCCGCCCTTAGGGACTCTCGAATAATTGTGCAACTGCTAAGTTTTGATGCAGTCACATGATTATTAAATTAATTGATAGCTAACATCCCTAGCTTCAACCCTTCCTTGAATAGGAGCCTTCATGT